AATAATAATACAAAGGCTTGATCGATTAAATTGCTCAATAATGTCATATATAAACCATCTATCTGCTTGACCATCCCCTTCGGAAATCGTTTTAAAAAGTTGAACTTGTCAAAAATTAAGTTTAACAATATTGGCACTTGATTTACGCACGCCTAATCCCACAAAACAGTAATAGTAATATAAAAACAAACAAACTCGTTTTTACTCTAATATGGCGCAACCTCCCAAGCCACTGTCAAAAGATTATGCTAACTACGAAACGTCTCAAATAACGGCAGCGTATCCAATGACTGGTGTACCTGTAAACTCTGGTTATGTGTATACCTCTAGCGTTTCTTCTAGTAAACCGACTCAACCCGTAGCAGTTTATCCGACTCATCCGCAAGTAACATCCAATCATGTGTACGCCTCTAGCGTTTCTTCCAATAAACCGACTCAACCCGTAGCAGTTTATTCGACTCAGCCCGTAGCGGCTTATCCAACTCAGCCCGTATCAGCTTATCCGACTCAACCGCAGGTGCCGGTTGTTCCTCCTGCATATAACAATGTCAATCCTAACATCCGGGGAGCAGTTAATCCTACGCCAAGGCCACCATACGTGATTGTAACAAGAAGGGATGGATGCGGATGTAATTGGGAAGTTTCTGTCACAGTAGTGGCTGTTTTGTTGATGTTGGTCGGAAGTATAATGTTAGGCGTTGGGCTATCGAATTGCGCTTACGTTTGTTATGTGGAGGACTATGACTTGTATGTTGCTGGTGCTGCACTCCTGGCTATAGGAATTGTCACGGCTATATGTATTTTAGTCGCATTTTTGGCTCGTCGCAGTCGGGCACCTACCACGACTGTGCATTCTATTCAACCGACCATGCAATCGTTCCAGCACTATTAAACATAACGAACTGTAAATTTTATTATGTAAAGTTAAAATTTTACATGTATATTACTTTGCTTTTAAAAAAAGTTTGTTAAGTAGAGAATTAAGAAACGAGCTCCGAGATTTGATAATATTATTTGACATATACTAGATTTTCTTGGTGTGAACGGGTATTCTAAATGTTACGTTACTATTTGCATTTAAACATTTGGTAATTTTTCTATTAAACTCGTTCATTGCCTGTTTGAAGTTAACCCGATGCATTAACGTTACCAAGCAAAATGATCAAATTATTCGAATATTTCATTCTAAGTAACAGATTATTTCACTGAACTAATTTTTTGTAATATGTATTTTTCTATCTATTTACTTTTGTATCGCCGTTACACATCCGTATATAAATAACAGTGTTTATAGTAAACGAGACTGGATAGATTATCTATTGTTGGAAAGTATTTTCAAACTGAAAGTTAGATGCGGGTTGCGATTGTGCCGCTTTTGTGACAGCATCAAACATACACAATTCAAAGACTCGAATCAAGCCTACGTTGTGCTATGGTAAATTAATGTACATGTTCAAGCCACTCATTACACGAAAAGGACAACCATTCTGAATTAGTCTGTTCTATAAATACGTTACCGGACGGTAAAAAAATAAACACAAACATCAACGCTAATCTTGATATCAATTTAAAACACACATTTCCCGTCTGCATGTTTACCGAATAAATATATGACTTGACGTCTTGTTCCAAGAAAAAAAGTTCAAGATTTTCGGACTTTGTTTTTCAAAAATCGTGTACAACCCATACACAAACACAAAAAGTCATGAGAACAAATTGTTACGATTTCGAAGATTACAATGCTCATACTGAATCTACCAACTTTTACTAACGTATTACTAAATGGGGAATATTTTGAATGAAATAATTTTACAGAGGATAGTATGTTTCATGAAAACGCCTGATGTCCAAATGAGGACAATGATTACTGTATTTTGAAAATATTTTTTTTCGATGTAACGTTTAACGAGTGGGTGCACAACTCCATATATCAATTTTGTACAATAACAATGAATTCTGCACGGAGTTTACAGACCGTGAATGACATTCGACTGTATATGGTTCGAGATATATGTATTGGATACTTTGAAAAAATGGTACGTTTTACTTCATTTTAGTATAATCTAATCGTTAATAAAAAGTTTTCGATTTTGCCATTCTTATCAAGACAGCGTTCTCACTGACCTCTATCAATGTTCTCATAGCTATTTCTAATTACGCCTGTGTTGATTTACCAATTTAAATAACGCACTTTTGTTTCTTTGCCCCTACTTTCTTTTTTGGTAACCATTGTAAACGTTGAACGTTTTTCACAATTTTGTCTGCTATTTGTTATTAAATGACTTGGTATTATTAATTTTTAATTTATCATATTACAACATCTTGGGTATTAATTTAATTTAATCCGATTATACATTTTTTTGCGATTAGTAAACGAATAGTTTTTGATGTATTTTACTTATGTTTTGCATAATAACGTCTTTGTATAAAGGCATAATGTTAACTTAAGAGTAACGTTGTGTCTTTCATTTAGCAGAGCACGGTTTAGTGACCAATGTCCTTGACCAGCTTAAAGTTTGCGGAAACAAAAAATTGTTTTATCTTTGCGTACATAATTCCAAGATTTTTATTATACGTACAGTATGTGCAATATGTGCATATTAAATTTCACTATATGCATCATAATCTAAGATCAGTTATATAAATTTTATAAATAAACCATCATTGTGTTGATTACTCTGTTTCAGATTCTATACTTTGATTCTGGAATAAACTATCTTTAAAGACTTGGTTGTGTGTGTTTTATTTAGTTTACGTATATATTCTCATTTTATTGTGATATCGCTAACAACCAACTATAATAAATACTACTAAGCTTTTCACATTGTTATATAAGCAGGACTGCTTAGCACCAACTGTAAAGAACTCACCCGGAGTAATGGTGTGGTAATGTTTCTGTAAAGACAGGATGGGACCACTGATTTTAGTGGATGGGAATATTAATGCTGCCAAGTATTAGTATATACAAATATTAGATAAATATTTATGAGCTTGGCATAGAAAACTATATTTTTCAAGATGACAACACCCTTTGCCACACAGTGAAGTCAACAGTTAAATGGAAAGAGTCGAAATTAATTGATTCACTTGAGTGGCCTTCCCAGAGTCCTGACCTTAATCTGATAGAACATTTGTGGGATGAATTAGAAAGGAGAGTTAGGAGAGATAAAGTAAAACCAAAAAATAAGGCAGAACTGTTTGCTGCACTGGAGAGAGAGTGGGGTCAAATACATAATAATGTGATCAATAATTTAGTGAATAGTATGCCTTGAAGAGTTAAAGCTGTGCTGGATGCAAAAGGGGGTGCCACACACACCATATTAGATACATTATTAAAAAGGACATTTTTTTGCGAATTGAACAATGTAAATTATAATGATTTTTATTATGAGGGTTTCTGAGTAATTATAATAGTAAACTAGATTTGAAATGGTGCTATTGTGAAGACAATTTCGAATGATCACTGTTTGTACTTATACTTTTGGCAGGAGGGTGTACTACAGAACAATATGTCAATGTTAATGTGGACATTTGATCAAATGACAAAAAAATGGATGCCATGAGACCATCATCTCCAATTGTGCTTGTTATTCAACTCTTTTGTCGTCTCATTATCCAACTTATCAAGGATTGCATTACAGCTCTTGATGAATGTATTGACAATTAGGTGCAATCACACCAAGCATCTCATCCACTCAATCATCAAAGGAGTATCAAGTCTGTTGTAGTTGCTGGAACTCTTGTACAAAGACAATCAATCTGCAATGGATTATCAGCATGCATCACATTAATATTAGGAAAGACGGGATTTCCGCCGCTCATTGAGAAAACAGCTAACGTTGAGCAAACACGTTACATTTGTTGTGCATGTTACGAATCTAATGGTGGACATTTACATCAACAAAGGGTAAAGGCAAGAAAGCGAAGAATTTTATTTGTACAGCATTGCATAAACATGACAATGATGTAAATGAATCAATGGAGCTTCTAACAAATTGGATGTTGTATGTGACTAAGAATGGTGACACTAATTTAAAAAAAAAAAAGAGTCTTAAAACGTGCATCAATGATATTGCAAGCATTGGAAGAAGACGACGAAGAAGATAATAATAACTCTCCGATTTTGACTCCGTTCATGATTAAGACAATCTTGAAAAGCCATAAAATGCCATTTAATAAATCGGAACCCTCAACAGTAATGGACTCCGAAACCTCACTTCAATTCGGTGAAAGTCTTGCTGAAAGTGTCTGGAATTCACGTAGTCAGATAAAGCAGAAAAAGAATATATTAGAAGCGCCCAATTCATTAAATTAATACATAAACGCATTTCCGCCAGTTCTGACAAATCTATTTATACAACATTATTCAAAAAACGAATAGAAGTAAATAATCGAAAAAAAGGAATAACAACTGCTGATATCATTATCCCGACAGGCACTTCTAAAAAAATTAACAGAATGACTGTATTCTTCGCATCTGTCATTCTAACGACTGCATTCAAAAATCGCAAAGTATGGATAACTCGCACACTAGCCTCAGCATGTCATAAACCGAAGCTTTTACCATCATTACGCTCTCTATTTGAGTCTGTTAACGTCATCTCACACACCAGTCGTTATGAACATTATTTAAAAAGACGGCGAATTGAAGCTACAGACCCTGTTGAAAATATACAAACCGGGCCATGCATCTGGAATGTATGTGTTATTGATAATATCGACATGGCGGAAGCTACTTACGAACGCGACAACATTTACAACAAGGCGCGTAAAACGTTTCATGCAACACTGCGCGCGATTTTTCAATTTACGCTTCCAATGCAAATAAAGTCAATTCCAAATAATGAGGTGCAGCTTTCTGAAAACCACTATTTATTTGGTATTAATTATGAAACTGAAGCATGGCTTCAAAAAGTGAGTGATGTTATCAAGATTTTAATAAATTCGACATGGCCTTCTATTGATAATCCTGGAGACGTTGATACAAACACTATCTACCAAGAGCTCTTAAAATATGTTAGACTTGGTAGTCAAGTTCCAAAAGCTAATGTAGTAATTCTTGAAGCGGGCAAAGAACCAAACTCCAATAAGAACATTTATGAAACTTGCCAGGCATACTATAAGGACTTGGGCTTAAACGATGAAGATAACTTGGACATATGGGCAGATCAAGCAATCTACAGCCGTCTTGTACATATTAAGAACAATGAGGAATATTCTTGTAAATTACGGCTAGGATTGGGACAATGGCATTGTGAACGCGATGGGCCTATCCTGAGGTTCTTCTCAGCATCGCTTCAGTGATGGGCTCCATGTGACTAGCG